AACAAGCTAAAAATGGCTAATCAGACTTACATGTATGACAGTACTACAGACACTGTGACGAGGATGGAGAGATAACCACTACCGATTAATAGCCACAAACAAAGAATTGTCAATAATAATGACTTGGTTTGCATTGTCGTGAATTGTCGGAGCCTAAAGAACAAAATAATAGAATTTGCCTCCCTCTTGGAAACAATAAAGCCACACGTGGTCCTTGGCACAGAGTCCTGGCTCGATAATACAATAATGGACAGTGAAATATTTCCATCCACGTATACCACGTACAGGAAAGATCGCAGCGTGCACGGTGGAGGTGTCTTTGTCCTTATTCATAATAGTCTTAGTAGCCTCTCTGTCAATATCGAATGCAACACATGTGAAACTGTTTGGTGTAAAGTTATGCTCCAGGATGGCTCCTCTGTAGCGTTTGGTTCCTTTTATAGACCACCCGGCGCAAACCCCTCTTTCAGCTAAGCAATATCCTTTTGAGCCTTCAGGCAACATATACCATTCTTGCAGGCGACTTTAACCTGCCAAATGTAGAATGGGTCTCTTTTCAGCCAATCATTCAGACCACGTCTATTCTTTATTCAGCTTTTCGTGATATGATCAATGCACACTCATTATTACAGTTTGTGGAAACGCCAACAAGGCTTGGTCCTACGAGTGCTAATGTGCTAGATTTGTTTTTATGCAGTGACCGTAATATTGTTTCCTCTGTTCTTACAATACCTGGTATAAGCGATCATGAGGTTGTTGTCGCAAAAATGTGCTGTAATGCAACGCGCCGTCGCAGTTCACAACCACGGAAAGTGTTTTTCTATGAAAGCGGGGACTACGGTTCGCTATCGAGTGAACTAGATGAATTTTTTCCAGAATTCCAGCTGCATACCTCAGCTTTAGATATTAATTCAGCGTGGAATCTTTTTAAGACAAAAATTTTATCTTTAACCCAGACGTTTGTTCCATCACGTATCATATTGGCAAAGCGCCGAAACGATAAACCGTGGATGAATAGAGAACTTCGAACATTGATAAGCAAAAAGAATCGTTTGTTTCGCCGGTATTGTCAATCGAGGGAAACTGTGTTTTACCTTAAAATGAAAGAAATGAATAGGAACATAGCAAAAGAAATGCGCAAGGCACAAAACAAGTATGAAAGAACTCTCTCTGAAAAAGTCAAAAGAAATCCTAAGGAAGTGTGGAAATACGTAAAAAACAAGACAAATTCTAATATTACTATCCCTGATGTAGTGGATGGCATGGACTATAGCAACGATCGAGAAGGCAAGGCTGAAAGCTTCAACTTGTACTTCCAGTCAGTGTTCACTCAGCCAGGCAGCATGGTTGATAGTCTAAGGAATTTCAATGGGTTTTCACTTATGGATGACATAGAGTTTTCAGAGCACGGCATCACTTTGCTCTTACAGAAGATCAAGGTAGGCTCAGCGCCTGGCCCAGACCGCATTTCTAACTATATTCTGAAAAATTGTGCCCCTCTGTCGCTTCATATCTAATAGTGTTGTTTAGAAAATCATTTGAACAAAGTGAGTTACCTCTTGATTGGAAAAATGCAAATGTAGTTCCTGTACATAAAAGTGGAGACAAAACAAAAACTTCTAACTATAGACCTATCTCTCTAACAAGCGTTTCCTGCAAGACACTAGAACACATTATTTACACTAACTTAATTAGTCACCTACAAGGTAATAATTTTTTTCACCCAACGCAACATGGCTTTAGGACTGGATATTCTTGCGATACACAATTAGTAGAGTTTACCCATGATATCGCTACATCGATAAACCATGGTAGCCAAGTTGATTGTGTCTTTTTAGACTTCCGAAAGGCATTTGATTCAGTATCACACACTCTATTGCTGCAAAAATTATCTACCATTCATATTCCAAATACACTCCTTAAATGGCTTGAAGCCTATCTCGTTGGCAGGAAGCAAAATGTTGTCCTCGACGGTTTGAATTCGTCATATGTAAGCGTCTTATCAGGTGTCCCACAAGGATTTGTGCTCGGTCCCCTTCTTTTTTTGATATACATAAATGATTTAGCTGTGAATATTTCTAGTTCCGTCAGATTATATGCCGATGATTGCTGCGTTTACCGTGACATAACATGTGAAGCGGACTCTGAACTTTTGCAAAATGACCTAAGCTCTATTCTATCCTGGTGTCAAACATGGCAGATGACTCTGAACCTAAACAAATGCAATCTGGTCAGGTTTACTAACAAACGACGACCGCTTCTCACGGAATATTTTCTTGGTGGCACAAGCTTATCTGTTGTTTTACAATATAAATATCTAGGCGTTCTCTTTTCCAGCGAACTATCCTGGAACTCTCATGTTAATTACCTGTCCTCTAAAGCCAGCCGCACATTAAACTTCCTTAAACGCAACTTTAGGCAAGCGCCTGCAAAACTCAAAGAAACTTTATATATGGCAAACGTGCGTCCGATTTTAGAATATGCTTGCACCGCGTGGGATCTTTGCACTAAGACAAGTATAGATGAGCTCGAACGCATACAAAAACGTGCAGCGCGGTTTGTGACTGGCGATTATGATTTCTCAAAAAGCTCGTCTGCTATGTGTACTAAATTAGGGTGGCCTTCGCTTGCTGACCGCCGAAAATATCTTAGACTGTCCTTATTTTACAACACATTTAATAACAGAAATGGCATTAATAAAGAACAATACATAAAAGAACCAACTTATGTGTCTCCCCGTACAGATCACCCTCTGAAAGTCCACGAATACAGGTGCAGAATAAACATATTTAAGTATAGTTTCTTTCCCCGTACAGTACATGATTGGAACAACTTACCAGCTGAAATTGTCTCTGCTCCATGTTTCTCATTTTTTACAACGCTGCAAAATTTTCTGTTAAATTAGTTTTTGCTGTCAATCTCGTATCATCTTTTTCTTGGTGTTTTTGTTGTAAAATTGCTGTGGTGGTATCACCTACATAGTTTGCTATTGCTGTCATTGTCATTGTTCCCGCGTCACACAGTCTGCTGTTTATTATGTACTATGCATCTGTGTATATCTTGTACTGTCTTCCCCCCTACAATAATGCCCTATTAAGGGCGCTGTAGGTAACCGAATAAATAAATAATACATTGGTTCACCGGCCCATGCAACAGCAGCGATCTCAAGTGGAAGGAGGCGTAAGCGTACTGCGGAAGGAGGCGTAAGCGCACTGCGCACGTCATGCCGGCACCGAACCCCGTCCGAAATGTGAGTGATGCGTTCTTTTGTAGGCTGTGGTCATACGATGTACCGCTTCGCCGCCAGACACGGCAGGCATCTCGCAGAAAAACCGCTGATGTTGGGTGTTGCGATGAAAACTGGTGGCTTTCTGCTGATCCGCGCGGTTCGGAGGTTTGACGATGATGCATTGATTCGCCGGTCCATGCAACAGCAGTGATCTGAAGTAGGAGAAGGCGTAAGCGTACTGCGCACGTCATGCCGGCACTGAACCCCGTCCGAAGTGTGAGTGATGCGTCCTTTTGCAGGCTGTGGTCATTTGATGTACCGCTTCGCCGCCAGACACACCTGGCATGTTGCAGAAAAACCGCTAATGTTGGGTGGTGCGATGAAAACTGGTGACTTTCTTCTGATCCGCGCGGTTCCGAGGGTCGACGTGATACATTTGTTCACCGGCCCATGCAACAGCAGCGATCTGAAGTAGAAGATGGCGTAAGCGTACTGCGCACGTCATGCCGCCACCGAACCCCGTCCGAAGTGTCAGTGATGTGTCATTTTGCAGTCTGCGGTCATAGGATGTACCGCTTCGCCGGCAGACACGCCTGGCATCTCGCAGAAAAACTGCTGGTTTTGGTTGCTGCGATGAAAACTGATAGCTTTTGCCCGATCCGCACGGCTCCGAGGGTTGACGATGATACATTGGTTCACCGGCCCATGCAAGAGCACCGATCTGAAGTAGAAGAAGGCGTAAGCGTACTGCGCACGCCATGCCGGCACCGAACCCCGTCCGAAGTGTGAGTAATGCGTCCTTTTGCTGACTGTGGTCATACGATGTACCGCTTCGCCGCCAGACCCGTCAGGCACCTTGCAGAAAAACTGCTGATTTTGGGTGCTGCGATGAAAACTGGTGGCTTTTTTGCGATCTGCGCGGTTACGAGGTTTGACGATGATACATTGGTAAACCGGCCCATACAACAGCAGCGATCTCACTTAGAAGAAGCCGTAAGCGTACTGCGCATGTCATGCCGGCACCGAACCCCGACCGAAGTGTGAGTGATGCGTCCTTTTGTAGGCTGCGGTCATACTATGTACCACTTCGCCGCCACACACGCAAGCCATCTCCCAGAAAAACAGCTGATGTTGTGTGCTGCGATGAAAACTGGTGGCTTTCCTCCTATTCTGATTCCATGGCGCGCATTAGAGCGACCAGTCCTCAGATAGCCAACGATTGGATGTCATAGAAAAACTGTACTTTTATATCCATAACAACCACCGTAAAAGACGGTGCTTCGTAGTAGCGCGTTACATGGTGATCCCAGATCGAACGAGTCCTAAACAAAAAGGAAGAAAAACACACACGGCACAGACTGATGCGAACGCGATGCGGCTAACCCTAGCAAGTCCAAACTCAATTAGGTTGCAGTAACAGCACACCCCGTCTGGTATCACGAGATACCACTATGACATTATAACGCAACGTTTACAAACTGGAAACGCACCGAAGTTTGGATCAGTCTTCCTTTGAGATGAGAAGGACAGTCTCAGTGACTGGCCGTAGGAAAGTTTTTAGTTCTCCTCTGGTCGCCGTCTTGATCTCGACTTTCCGTACTTTTCCGTCTGCACTCGGGAAAGTGTTCACAATCTCACCCATAGGCAACTCGTTGCGGTGAACCTGTTTATCCCTTAGGAGCACAATGTCACCTTCCTTGAGGTCTCGACAGCTATCCTGCCACTTGCGACGGCTCTGAAGCGTTGTCATTAACTCACGTCGCCAACGGTGCTAAAAGGAGTCTGCCAACCACTGCACTTGACGCCACTGACTTCTGTAGAGATCCTTGACGTTGAACTCGCCGGGTGGTAACGTGTCTCCACCAACCTTCTGGGTAAGGAGTGTAGACGGAGACAAGATGTCCCGGCATTCCGGATCCATCGAAACCGGAACAAGAGGTCTAGCATTTATGATTGCTGAAACTTCTGTCAAAAATGTCACCAGAACTTCATGGCTGAGACGGCTCGGTCTGTGTTCTAACAACATGGAATCCAAAATACGACGTGCGATTCCGATCATCCGCTCCCGAGCTCCTCCAAAGTGGGAAGAATGAGGAGGGTTGAACACCCAACTGCAATTTTGGCTTGAAAGGAATGCTTGCACTTTGTCGTTGTCGAGACCACTAGTCCTCAGGTTGATCTCAGAACATGCTCCGACGAAATTGGTTCCACAGTCGTATCGCAGCTGTGTCGCAGGTCCTCCGGGTGCGAAAAATCTCCTGAGAGCGTTAATAAAACTTGAAGCATCCATGGACTCTATGACTTCAATGTGGACCGCCCGAATGGTCTTGCACGTAAACAGCACTGCCCAGCGTTTGCTGCTGGCTTCTCCACCTCTAGTTCGACGTGCAGTCACGTTCCATAGTCCAAACACGTCAACCCCCACATATGTGAATGCAGGTTCTGTATTGAGTCGATCAACTGGCAGGTCTGCCATCTTCTGGTCCAGCTGTCTTCCTCGCAGTCTGCAGCACATGACACACCCGTGTATGTACGACGCTATGCAGCGTTTTGCTCCGATGATCCAGAAACCTGCGGATCTGATTGCTCCCTCAGTAATGAGGCAACCTTGGTGCTTGATCTGCCTTTGATAGTACCCTACGAGCAGCAAGGCGACGTGGTGTTTACCAGGTATTATTTGAGGTCTCCGCTCCTCTTGACTCAGCTGTGCGCTGTTGAGGCGACCACCGACTCTCAGCAAGCCCTTGTCATCAATACAAGGATTCAGTTTCCAAAGTGGACTTGATTTCTGGACTCCTCTCCCTTGTGACAAACACTCGAGCTCATTTGCATATGCTTCTAGTTGGACGGAGCGAATGACGAGATTCTTTGCAAGAGACAAATGCTCGACAGATAGCTGTCCTGTTCGAAGGCAGCCACGTGACAGGTCAGCTTCCTCGGCACAAGAAGGGCGCCGAAAGTTGCCAGCAGCACGTATGAGGTATGCCACTGCAAGCATCAGTCTAGGCCAGGTTGAAAAACGACTGAAACGATTAGTCCCGAGTCCATTTGTGGTCACACTGGTGGCTGAGACGCTTGCTACGGGCGGGATTTCGGTATCAGTGTTTGGGTCTATCAGCTCAAACTCGTTCTGTAAGACGCATGAAGACACTTCTTGACGATTTAAGAACTCTGGACCAGTCAGCCAAGCCGTCTCCTGTAGCCGGGCTGCGGGCACGAATGTTGTAGCAAGATCTGCAGGATTTGCATCGGTCCGAACGTAATGCCATTGATCTGGTTGTGTAGATTTTCTGATGCGTTCGACCCTGTAGCCGACATACACGTAAACTCTCCTCGTTTGGTTTTGTATGTAGCCCAAAACCACATTGCTGTCGGTGTAGAAATGCACCACATCTAGTTGTGTGTCAATCCCTTTCTGAATGAGCTCTGCCAGCTCCACAGCCAGTACCGCACCACACAGTTCGAGCCTTGGAATGGTGTGTTGTGGACGTGGTGCTGGCTTAGCTTTGCTTATTATAAAGCCGACATGACACGCACCATCCGAGTCTGTGGTTCTCATATAAGCCACAGCTGCTACAGCCTTGGTCAAGGCGTCTGAGAAGATGTGCACTCCATTCTGATGAGCCGTGCTAAGTGAAACGGCCACATAAGTGCGAGGCACTTCTAGCTGCTCGAAAGCCTGAAGGGAATCCTTCCAGTTCTCCCACTCTTTCCTCTTGTTTTCAGGAAGTAGGGAATCCCACTCGCAGGTTTCTGTGACGAGTTCCCGTAGGAGAGACTTCCCTTGTATGGTAACTGGAGCCACGATTCCAAATGGGTCGTACACGCTTTTCACCATTGACAAGACACCACGCCGGGTGAATGGTGTGTCCTGAACTGGAACCCTGAAGGTGAAGACGTCCTTCTTTACGTCCCAGCAAATTCCAAGACTGCGTTGGATCGGTGGAATGTCATGACTCAGGTCGAGTTCCCTTAGATCTTTTGTGTGGTCCTCCTTGGGGAAAGCTTCCATCACTCTGCTGCTGTTTGATAACTATCTTGTGAAGCCTTAGGTTACAAACTGCCAACATTTGTTGCGTGTGTTTCAGCAGGTCAATAACACCATCTGCCGGAGGGAGAGATTTCAACCCGTCGTCTACGTAGAAGTCCTATCGGACGAACTCCCTGACGTCTTTTCCAAATGCTTCCTCTCCTTCCTGTGCTGTCTTCCGGAGTCCGTATGTAGCCACTGCTGGTGATGGACTGTTACCAAAGACATGCACTCTCATCCGATATTCCACCACTTTGTCGTGGATGTCATTGTTGCGAAACCACAAGAACCTCAGGTAGTTTCGGTGGTCTTCTCGTACCAGGAAGCAGTAGAACATCTGCTGAATGTCCACGGTGACAGCGAAGAGGTCTTTCCTAAAACGAATCAGGACGCCCAGCAGGCTGTTGGTCAAGTCTGGTCCTGTGAGAAGAACATTCTTCAGAGAAGTTCCCTTGAACTGAGCACTTGAGTCGAACAAGACCCTGGTTTCGTCTGGTTTGCGTGGGTGATACACACCAAAGATTGGAAGATACCAGCATTCCTCTTCTTCTCTTAGCGGTGGGGCTTCTGCGAGGCCATTCCTGAACATCTTGTCCATGAATGTCGCAAAATGCTCCTTCATCTGTGGTCTCTTCTGCAGTGTGTGTCGCAGTGATGCAAGACGAGACTGTGCAAGCTCCTTATTATTAGGAAGCCGAGGTCTTGGCACGCGGAAAAGAAGAGGGTCTTCCCAACTGCATGACTCATCTTTGAAGACTTCATTGTTCATAATGTTTAGGAAATTTCTGTCCTCCACCGATGGAGCTGGTTGGTCGTCGTCCTTCGTCGTCTGGAACAACGTGTCTGTCGTTTCTTCGACAGAGTAGCTTTTGATGGGTACACCTTGGTTAGGTGGTACGTGCTGGGTTGGATTGACGGGACCAGTGAATTTCTCCTTGACGAGAAAATGGTTACGGCATGGTTCAAAAAGGGAGGGTCGTCCATTTTCGAGCACGTTTGTCTTGAAGTTGGTGACACAGTCCCGCTTGCATGTGCGACCTAGGCAGACGTCTCCTATGATCACCCATCCTAGGTCTAGTCGTTGACCAAAGGGCGCATCAGGAGGCCCATTGCACTGCTGACGCACCTTGTGGACTCTCAGGATGTCTCTTCCCAGTAGAAGCAGAATCTGAGCTTCCGCATCCAATGGAGGTATGAGGCTCTCTATAGCCTTTAGATCTGGGTGATGACGTGTAGCGTCTGGTGTCGGAATCTCCTTCCTGTTGTTGATCATCTGATTGCATTCAGTCAGGGTTGGGAGAGGTAGTTTCACTCTGCCATCAATATTTGCAACCAGAAACCCAGAGGCTCTCCTTCCTGTGGTTTCTGCTGTTCCAGCCCATGTCTTGAGGGTATATGGCGAACTCTCTCCCTGGACATCAAAGAGGTTGAAGAATTCTGTCCTTGCCAGTGACCTATTGCTTTGGTCGTCCAAGATGGCATACATTCTCACAGCCTTTTGAGGTGCGCTTGAGTGACACACACTCACCAAACAAATCTTGGAACAAGACCTTCCACCGTAACCTTAGCCACACACCTCGGTGCACTTGGAAGATATGTCAGGTGGTAGTCCGTGATGAATGCTATCGTCTTCGGGATCCTGTCTGAGGCTCGAAAACAAAGATTTGGAACTGTCCGGGTGAAGCGCTTTGGTATGTTCAGTCCTGTCACAGTCGTCACACTTGATCACAACTTTACAGTCCCTTGCGAGGTGGTTTGTAGAGGAGCAACACCTGAAGCAGATCCCAAATTGTTTCAGCAGCGACTTGCGTTCTTGCAGTGGTTCCGCTCTGAACACACGGCACTTTCGTAGAGGGTGAGGTTTCTTGTGAAGAGGGCACTGTCTGTTAGGGTCCTCCATCCTCTCGGCTGTGGCTGGCGAATAATGGTCGACGGCTTCTGGAGTAACGTCGGTCGTATGGACTGAAAGGGGCGTGTTTCTGAAGCCTTCTCTTGCCGTGACCTTCTCATTCTTTGGGAACCTCAGAAAGGTGCTTCCCGTTGTGCCGAAAGCAAAGCTCGGGTCGTTCCGCATCCTGGCCTTGTCTCGGACAAACTTCGAGAAGAACGAGAAAGGGGGAAAAGAGACGTGATGATCTTCTTTATACCTTGAGCCTTTCGAGATCCACATCTCTTGGAGACGGTGTGGCAACTTCTCCGCGATGGGGTTCACCCATCTTGCCGTATCCAAATAGCTGAGTCCTGTCAAGTGGGGATCAGCTTTTGCGGCTTCCAGTTCCAGAAGCAGATCTCCCAGTTCCCGTAGTTTGTGAGTGTCTTTGTCGGAGAATTTAGGAAAGCTTCCGATCCTCTTGAAGAGCGCATCTTCTATTACTTCGGGTCGCCCGTAGCAGTCCTTCAGTCTGTCCCAGACTATCTCTAACCCCGCCGCGGGGTTGTCGACATGTACTGAACGCAGACTCTTTGCATAGACCGAAGACTCACGGCCCAGCCAGTTCACGAGAAGATCTAACTCTTCCTTTGCCGTAACTTCCAGAGTTTGCACTATACTTTTGAATGTGGCTTTCCATACTCTGTATTTCTCGGGGTGGTCATCAAACTTGACGAATCCTGTGCTGACCAAATCTCGACGAACCATGTATTTCAGCACACCACTCAATTCTGGAGCAACTTGCTCTGCGGGCCGTTCATTTGAGCCATTGTGGACGGCAGCCTGGTTGTGCACATAGTCTACAGTGCGCTGAGCACGGACTTCTGATACATCTGAGATGGTTCGGTCAGAGCGATGCTCCCCGCCGTGCTCTTCTGCCGCCGCTTGCAGGATTTCTGCTTGAACTTCCATAGCAGCCGCTTTCCTTTCCAGCTGTAGGATCTGTAACTCGGCGTCTAGTTCTGCTTTTCAGCGCTCGTTAGCCGCAGCCGCACTCTTCTTCTTTTCTTCGAGCCTAGCTCTTTCAAGTTTCATGGCCACTTCCTTTCTGGTGAAAGAAGCACGAGTGCGCGCCGCTGCAGCCTCGGCGCGTGCCCTCGTTGCAGCCGTGCTTGTCGTGGTCGCAATCGAGTGTTCCGAACGTGTCGATCCTCCAGAACGTCTCGAGCCGTGAAGTCGTGGCCCGGCAGACTTCGACGAGTGCTCCGAGTTAGCGTGTTCCGAGTCCCGAGACTTCGTGGCGCGGTCGGGCGTCTTTCCGGTGTCCATCAAGGCTTTCTGAACCGCGCGAGCACTGTCGCAATCCGCAGTCTTCTGTAGGGCTAGCTCTAGCTGGCTTTGTTCCGCGTTGATCCCCAACAAGTGGGCCACGTAGCGTTCCGACTGCGCTTGGTAACGACCGTACTCTTTTCGGATACCGCCCGTCGCCGCTTGCTGCGTTTCGGCGTTTTTAGCCTGTTTAACTTCCCGAAGATCGTTTTCGATGCGCTCCCAGACGCAATCGAGCTTTTGACGTTGCTCGTCCCGGTTCGCTTCGTAGTTATGCAAGGCCTTGTGCGACAACGTTTTTTTTTCCTCGCGGTCTCGAGTCTTCTGGCGGCTGATCCTTTATGGCGTTCTCACTCACGTGACCAGCCGCCGAGTCCCCGTCCGAAGGGTCCATCTCGTTCAAGCTTGCGTAGCGGCGTCCCGCGTTCGTGTTCGAGCTGAACCAAGGTGGCGAGGCCTAACGTTCCGATGCGCTCACTTGGCGTTCACCGTCTTTTACTATTCTGATTCCATGGCGCGCCTTAGAGCGACCACTTCTCAGATGGCGAACGACTGGATGTCATGGAAAAACTGTACTTTTATATCCATAACAACCACCGTAAAAGACGGTGCTTCGTAGTAGCGCGTTACATGGTGATCCCAAATCGAACGAGTCCAAAACAAAAAAGGAAGAAAAACACACAAGGCACAGACTGATGCGAACGCGATGCGGCTAACCCTAGCAAGTCCAAACTCAACTAGGTTGCCGTAACAGCACACTTCCGATCCGCGCGGTTCCGAGGTTTGACGATGATACATTGGTTCACCGGCCCATGCAACAGCGGCGATCTGAAGTAGAAGAAGGCGTAAGCGTACTGCGCACGTCTTGCCGGCACCGAACCTCGTCCGAAGTGTGAGTGATGCGTCCTTTTGTAGGCTGAGGTCATACTATGTACCACTTCCCCGCCAGACACGCGAGGCATCTTGCAGAAAAATCGCTGATGCTGGATGCTGCGATGCAAACTGTTGGCTTTCTTCCGATGCGCGCGGTTCCGAGGTTTGACGATCATACATTGGTTCACCGGCCCATGCAACTGCAGCGATCTGAAGTAGAAGAATGCGTAAGCGTACTGGGCACGTCATGCCGGCGCCGAACCCCGTCCGAAGTGTCAGGGATGCGTCCTTTTGCAGGCTGTGGTCATACGATGTACCGCTTCGCCACCAGACACGCCAGGCATCGTGCAGAAAAACCGCTGATATTGGGTGCTGCGATGAAAACTGGTTGTTGCCTTTCGGTCCGCGCGGTTCCGAGGTTTGACGATGATACATTGGTTCACCGGCCCATGCAACAGCGGCGATCTGAAGTAGAAGAAGGCGTAAGCGTACTGCGCACGTCTTGCCGGTGTAGGACGCCGATCTCACTACCCCTCTGCTTCGACTACGGTAGTGGTTATGGCGTAGGCCAAAATCAATACCGTAGTCATTTCGGCGTACGCCATAGTCAATACCGTAGTCTTTTTCGCATAACCCAAACACACTACCCTTACGCCAAACTCAATACCTTGAATTACGTCGGTTCAGCAGGGGTTGAGCCAGTTGAGCTCCGCATTTCGCTAAAACTGGCGGAAGTGACTTTCTGCAGCAAAATACCCTGATTGTTTGTTGTTGTTTGTATGAGCAGCGGAACGCGCGCGGCAGGCGTTGTTAATTTTGATTAGCGTTGATACGGCTGACGGCACAAGCAAGGAAGCTTGGAGTGATTCTGTGTGAATGTGATTTGACATCGCTTCTTTCTGTTTCTTCGATCGTGGTGCAAATGCAGGTGCCCGACTCCCGAACGATTCGAAGGCAAGAGTGGTAGCCCACCTGTCCGCTGGTCTCAATCGCATGCACTGTCGTCATTTTGGGCACATCGGAAGAAAATAAGACGCTCACTATTTTAAATAGCGTGCGATCGGCCTGTCTAGGTTCTGGCGACACCGTTTCAGGCTGTATATGAGAACATTTAGCCACTACAGTACGACTGCTAGCCTGGGGTATGTGCCTCACAACAGATCGAAACGCGGTGGGGGTGGGGATCCCTTGCAGCGGGACCTTTCGCTGTACGAGCTGCGGTGCGCTAACACACTCGACCTCCGATACCCCTTTGGCTCACAGCGCTTGCTGAAAGAAGTTTGGATCGTTTTACGCAGATTTTGCAGTGCGTACGAGACGCACAACTGCTACGTACTACGTCCTAGATGCCCAAACTGAGGCTCGCTACTTGTGCGCGGCTCTCGTGATCTGGAGAACAGTATGCTCGCCATGAAAATGTTGCAGAGAGAAGTACGGAAAAGTAATATTATAACAGTAGAGTATTTAAAACTGGCTTGCATTGTCACTGAACATATGAAAAGAAAACTGATTAGGAATGCCGATCAGATCGGGTGAAATAGGCTCGGTTTATGTGCGAAGTTGCGTCGGAACAGGTGGGCAGGGGTGCTATATTCTCCATCCCCCACATAATTCAAACTCGTTGCCCCCATCCCTGTTCCTATATTCTTTCAATGTGGCAGGTTCTTTTTTTTTCTTTTTTTGTGCCTAGAGCTGCAGTTTTCTATGCTTCATCTCCCCTTAGCATGGACTGTTAGCCAGATTCTACAAGTGTGAGCTATTTGCTTTGGATCACACCATGGCGGTTGCACGAGTGCTCATTCACTGCAAGCGCTGTGAAGGCAGTCGAGGCATCTAGTGCATGCGCAGTCTTTGCGGTTTGAGGTCCTTTGTTTTGGTCTGTTCTTTTGTGTCTGGGTTTCATGTCCTTTTTGTTTCTTGTTTGTGTGCTGGGTATGATTGGAAGTTATGTTACACCTAGTAGTAGGATCTTTTGTAGAAACATTGGTTTGAGAGTAAATGGTTCTATTACCTTCTTTCTTTTCCTTTGGCCGAGCAGAGAGGGAAAATGGTTTCTTCATGTCGACTTCGGGACAGAAAATAACCCACGATCGGGACAAAGGCAAGTTTGGGGGAACCGTATCTAGTTCACAGCGGCTCAATAGGCAAACAGGATGTGGCTCACGTTTTGTGTGTCGAACAGGTTAGAGAGGCCTGGTGCGCGCGTTGTTTTCTAGCCATTTATTCTCGATCCCAGTCGCGTGTCTAGGTGGCAGCACGTATTCGCCAAAGGGTGGATTGTGAAGGAGGTATGGACGTGTATATAAGGCGGTGTTTGTTGAATAAACCTGTGTCCGAGACTTCAATGTTCATTTCATTTTTTTTTATTTTCCTAAGTCTCGGGTTTACTATGTTTGTCATTCGCCAGCTCGCCT